TATATATATATATATATATATATATATATAATATTATTATTATTCAAATAAAATACAATCGACATTGATACATACTCCTAGTTCCATATGCAAGCTCTGTAGAAGTTTTTTGATGAAGGGAAATGAGGGTTTTGCCTTGCATAGTATCATTTACCCAGAGGTGTGAGTATTTTTCTGATGTGAAATGCTCCATTTCTTTAAATGCCAAGCGTCTTTCACAGCAAACCTTCCGCTAGCCTGCCAGATTAGAAAATTTAGTAAAGAATAGTTCATTTGTATGCCAGTTTTATCGGTAAAATTATAATAATTTTATCACCTTACGTCAGGTGGAAAGAATAAAGGACAATTATATGAAAAAGCCCTACAATGCTTCGCCTTCCAGCAAGATTAGGCTGCGATTTCGACCTCTCTTAGAACTCATCCTCTTGGTGGTGAAGGATTACAACTTGGCTACACAATCACAGGACAGATGTAACTTTCTAGGAAAGCGGGGCCCATGCAAAATCTTATTACTACCAAAAATGTGTAACCCTCACCTACATTCCCACTAAAAAAGGCCTGATTGTTTGGATAGTTGCATCATCACTGTGTGATTTGATGGTTAAATGTCGCCACTTAACCTCGACAAAGTCGAAATTGCAGTCCAGCCTGGAATAGAAAACCTTTCTTGAGACCCCTTAAACCACCAAAGGTTGTTCATCCAAGGAGTACCGATATTTTTGAAGCAGACTTCTCGAGAAAAACAGTAAAACTATACAAAGCAATCCACTCCAGCCTTCACAAGAGGGAACATTTTTACCCAATTGCTTTGTGTGGTAATAAGACATTGTCACAATCGCTCAAGCACTTGCCTTGACACAGGAATTGTTCACATCCCCCAATCTTGCCTGGCCGTTGTAGCGTGCATCGGCCGGCGGAAGATGGTCTTCATTGCCGGAGGGTGATGGCGAAACCCTGTGCCGAGCGCCGAGCTGCCCACAACCCGATGAGCCGATGATGCCGACAGTAGAGCCTTCGAATGAGCCAACTGGCCTCAAAGTGAATTTTCTCATGGCAATCTCGGAGCCAAAACACACACTACGGGATTCGATCCGATTAAGTCCACCGACGTTGTAGGCCCTTCCTCATAGTGCCGGCTCGCAAAGTGGAGTGTGTCCTTGCCTATTATGCAATGGCGTGGGCATGTGTTTCAAAGCGGGTCAAGAGGATGAGCTCGAAAGGATCGGAATCTCATATCCACTGTAGCATCACACCAACTCCAACAACTGGCAGATACAACTTCGGCTAGAAACAACACACTCACGCGGGCGGCTACGGCAACCCCGAAAGGGTGAGAGTAGCCACGACAAACTCGATGAATGGACAGTGTTGCCGCCTGTCACACACACAAATCACAATCAGGTCAGGTTCCCTGTTGGGAGAGGCAGCAAACGAGCGGCCCAGCGATAAAAAGCCGGCATCTACATGTTTATTCTATCATCTCATCTTATGCCCACAATGCAACACGTCTATGCCGGTAGTCCATCCAGTCATGTTCTGACAGCTACCCTGCACATGAACTGCCTCGGAAGAACAGGTGGCTCTTTACTCGATTGGTCAGAGTGGCCGGTGGACCAGCAGGAAGGAAGGTATTCCTGTAATCGAGCACACCGGCAAAGATAGAGGCGCACACACAAGCAATGAGGCAGGCCAACATCTGGACAGCAGCAGAGGAATAGATAGCAAGTCATGTAGGCATTTACGCCGATTTGCAGACATTCAATGTATCCTGATGATATCAACGTGTTTGAGAGTTCATAATGTAGGGATACTCCGTGAAATCAACAAGTGAAGAAGAGACCCGATACCTTTCACATGTCGTCGCCCTTTGCTCAAAACCCGTTTCAGCCTGTTTTGTCCAACTCGGGTGGGCTTTCTGTCTTATTTAGTAAGACACACTTATCTCATCTGGAGACTTTCATTTTGCTGAAGAGATTTGTAGGTCTATCTCTCCGCCATTTTGACATAATACGACGCTTAGTATGGCATAGACCTTCCGTGTTTCCAGGGGAAATGGGCTGAGTTTTGGTCCATCATTCCACATGATGGACTTCGTCAGACCTGGAACTCCTCCTTGAAAAGCTTCAATTAAACACCAAATTAGGAAGATTATCTGGCTCTAACATGCTAAATATATTTTTCATTTGTAAGTAGACTTTCGAGATAACCAGTTCACCCTATTACGTTTAAGGTAATGATGGACTGGTAGTTGAATCTTTTCTAAACGAATTAGTCTTCCTTTTTGGAGGGCAAGACTATGTGAAGTTCAATATAAACCTAAGGTATACGTATTTTGTTGTGGGAAAATTAAACAAAGAGTCCTACATCACCTTAAACGAAATAGGACGAACAAATCTCATATATGCTAAATATACTCATAAATTAGAACTAAAATACATACGGATACAAATAGATACGTAATGATTTGGTTAGTTCTCTCTAATCGTAACCAAAGCAATTATACTTAAGTGGGTCTGTCTGTGGGTGTGTGCATGTGTTAACCTGAGTAATACGAAGTATGCGAAACGGGCCATTACAAAAGAGCTTGACGTTAGGCCTGAGTCATCAATGTCTAATGACCCAAGGAAAAGCATGATCTAAATTGTTTATGCTCAAAGATGGCTCAGATTGAAATGATGAACTGCAAGCCCTCACATGTTTAAGTTAGGTTACGAAATTACCGGTCATATTACGGCGCTTAGTATGACATAGTCAAGGAGACATCCTTTCGTGTTTCGATGGGAAATGGGCTGAGTTTCGGTCCATCATTGCACATGATGGACTTCGTCAGACCTGGAACTCCTCCTTGAAAGCTTCAATTAAACACCAAAGTAAGAAGATTATCTGGCTCAAACATGCTAAATATATTTTTCATTTGCAAGTAGACTTTCGAGATAACCAGTTAATAAGATATATAAGATGTGTTCACCCTATTACGTTTAAGGCTATGATGGACCGGTAGTTGACTCTTTTCTAAACGAATTAGTATTTCCGCACTGTCATGGTTCTAGTCCAGCTTGCGGTGTTGGTAAGACTCAGGCGAGGTTGAAACTGCAGTCCACTCTGGATGAGTCTACCTTTTGGGAGGGCAAGACTATGTGAAGTTCAATATAAACCTAAGGTCTACTCATGTCGTTGTGGGAAAATTAAACAGAGTCCTACATCACCTTAAACGAAATAAGACGAACAAATATCATATATGCTAAATATACTCATAACTAAAAACTAAAATACATACGGATACAAATAGATATGTAGTGATTTGGTTAGTTCTCTCTCATCTTAACCAAATTAATTATACTTAAGTGTGTCTGTTTGTGGGTGTGTGCATGTGTTAACCTGAGTAATACGAAGTATGCGAAACGGGCCATTACAAAAGAGCTTAACGTTAGGCTCGAGCCATCAAGGTCTAATGACCCAAGGAAAAGCTCCAAGATGGCTCAGATTGAAATTATGAACAGCAAACGTTTACATGTTTAAGTTTGTTTACGAAATTACCCGTCATAACCCATCAGTCTTAGGCGATTTAAAGTTAATCGCCCGAGGAGAAGAGTAACTGAGATTGCGTAATCTAGTTTTTCTAGTCGGGTTAATGAGTTTAATAGACCTTTTAAAGGAATATAAATGTGGTTAGAATGTGGTTAGACGGTGGCGGGAAAAATTAGTCGTCTATCTTTGGTCGGCAGCTAATTACCCTCTCTCCACTACATTTTTTTCAATCGAGAATAAGTCGTTTTTACTCAACTTTTTGCCTTTATTCCATACATTAAAACTATTCCCTAGTCAATTAATTGTATTAGCTTCTCTTAACCTGCGATGCATAGCAGACATAGGGTAATCAGCCAACGACTGTGTCTGAGAACATTCTATCTCGTGTCCAGTCCCTGTTCTCTGTTCAGCCACTTGTGACCGTCGGACCCAGCTATCTTTACAGACTTTTTTGTATTTTGCTAACCTTTGACGAATAGACTGGCAGGTCGCAACAACATAAGATCGACCACCTAAACACACACGTTTAACAGCTGGATCATGATAATGGACCACATTTATATCTAAAAGAAAGCAATAACCGAAGAAAGTGTCACGTTTTTTTGGAAAACCATTTTTAACCTCCATTGTTTCACTGCTTCTCTTTTCTTCTTAGAACCCATACATGACGACAAATTCAACACATGAGACAATGTCTCAGCTTAACTATCTTTGATCGAGTAATCTCAATCTAAACATTTATAATCATTTGAGCCTAAAGGATAATTATTTTGCAGAATTTGAAACTTCAGCATTCTTGAATATTCAGTTAAATCATACATATCAGCAAGTACCGCGCTCCTAAATGTAATTGAATTCAATATTTCAGCCTTAGTTTTCGAAGCATAGATAGAAAGGAACTCCATAAGAGAATCAGAATATGTATCTATTTTATAAACATCTGTACCTAAATTATTGATAATATACAAAGAAGTTAAACTTATTTTTTTCGCATTGATTAACTAAAAGTAGGAAATTATCTCTTTTTAACGATGCTACAGAATAGCAAAATAGTCATTCAGATATATTTTAGGATCATATAACTTACCATCAAAAGTTGAATAAGCTATACTTATATGTAAGTAAAAAAGTATTGGAATGAACGTTGTACTTAACTTTATGACGAGTTAAAGTTCAGCCCATTTTCATCCGAAACAAGGGAGGATGTCTAATGGCCTGCGTCAAACTAAACGTTGTATTAAGGCCAAATGTCAACTAAAGTTAGCCGTCGTATTCCAGTGAGATCGATCTATGAATCTCTTCATCGTGTACTTCCATACGAAATAAGTACCATAACTAGCAAGATTATACAATAGTAACAGCATCCTTTGAGTTTACAACAACTTTGGCCCGTTATCCTTATACAGGAGACTTGGAGACAATTGTATTCTCCGTCCTGTGATCTTTTGTCATAAGGATACCTGTTTGCTAATAAGAACTTATTCAGCCCAGATTGCTAAAGATGAGCTAAGGTCGGGTAGGGACGAATCTCTGACAATGTCTTACGGTTTCGGTTTGCTGTTTCTTCCAAGAAATTTTCTCACTCCGGCTATAATGTGATTTCAACCTCAACCAGGTCTCCTCAGTAGATCTGACGATATCCAAGATTGTATCGTGAGAATCGTGGCACCTCGATGCCACTCTGATGCACAGTCATAGTTACCAGTGGGTCTCACAGGGCAGATGCGGACTTACAGGCAAGTCAGGCCTATCTTAAATTACTTGCATAGTAGAAAGGATGTACGGATGAGATTTTGGTGAGGTGAAAACTGCAGTCTGTACTGGATGAGAAAGCCTTTCAAAAGTTAGATTATATTGCTTATTCACAATATTGACCAAAGACCCCTTTTATCATCTATGCTCAACTCATTTTGAGTTGTTTAGGATGACTAAGTTCTTATTCAAGAATCACTGCTCGTTTCGAAACATACCCATAAATCTATTTTCTTTGTTTATAAAAGGTTAGCTTGAGGAGGAAAGAAAGTCCCGATCTGGACGGTAAATGTTTGACTATTTTTATGCAGTTAACGTTTATAATACATAATTAAAAGTCGTATGTTGTGGTTACAATCAATTTAGACCTGACTCACAAAATCCTTTCTCATCCAGAAAGTGCTGCAGCTTCGAACTGCGACTTTTCCGCATAACAAACATGGCCCTTTTTAAGAATATTTTTGAGAGTAATAATGATACTCAAAGAAGTTCAGAATCGGGATTCATCCTTGATGAGAATGAGTTTTTTGAAGCGAGGATGAATGAAATGAAATGATATAATGTGGCATACTGACCATTACATTGTGATAAATTCATATTTCAGTCAACAACAAGTTAAATGATTTAAGATGCATGCA